CTTAGTAATGGAAAAGTTAAACAATCCACAAAAGAACTGTTCAGTCGCTTGACACTTTCAAGAAGACCCATCTTTTCTCTATAGCCTTCAATGGAGCTAAGCCCTTCATACTCATATGATATTCCATGCACTTATTGTATTCTTGTATTATTCTGTTTATGGTGCTATATTATACCCTTATTTGTTTTAATCACTTTATTACTTTTTAGGGTTTGTGTTTTCCTGTGTACATGGGTGCTATATAGTCTTCTAGCAGGGATTTATTCAGATTTTCCCGCCTGCCTTGGTTGCACAGCTCTTTGGTCAACATGCCTTGTTCATCCGCTAATAATTATTCTTGGACAAATTGTGTATCCTGTGCATTAAAAAATATGTTTGTTTTCTTAGAAATGTAGTGTTTGGAATCCCAAGGATCTACTTTGACAAAGTAGTCTCTGTTGTAAAGGATTATCCCCTCTACCATTAACTGAAGCCAGGTGCTGCTCTCATACTGCATGGTAAATCACCATAGACACAATCTGACTCACAGATCAGCCAGCCACTGTGATGTAAGCTCCTACAATCCCTAATGTCCTAAATTTATTGTTGAAGCGCTCATCCTTTGCCTCTCCACCTTCTTAATCACTCCGAAGTCTGTCTGCAGGGTTGCTAAGGACTACACCTGTAACTCACCGGGCTGTGCCTCAATATCTCAGAGCAACAAACGCTCAAGGCCTTCACTATTCCTCTCTATCCCATAAATCTCATCTGTATTCAGAAGTTGTGCTGCCTGGTCAAAGTTATAATCCAAGGATCTGCTCTCAGTTAATCATTATTTTCGTTAAGATGATGTTTATTTTACTGAAACTGCAGAATCACTCAGGGTATAGTAATATTTGCTTATTTCTTGGATGTGGAAAAGGCATTTATGAAAAACTTCAGCCTTTTATTGCATGATGAAGTACTAACTGGAGACGCAGTTCACCCCCTGATATCTGGACTAATTTAACACACAGCATGCAGCATTTTGCAATAGCAAAAGCGCTGCTGCTAATTAATACACAACATTTTTATTAAGTTAAAAAAATGTTCTTATGGAAATACATAATGATGATAAATGTGATTCCTGTGATGCTCTGTCCATAAGATCTACAAAACGTTTCTAACAACTTGATTCGTCATTCATCCGGTAAGACACATGGGCAGAAAAATACAAGACAGGCTTTGAAAAAAAAAAGATTAATATTAATAATAAAAAATATCTAATTTAAAGACATTTAAAGACCTTCTTAATCAGCTTGAGGAAATGACCGACTGGTGACACTGGTGAATCGTAAAATGGTCAACCTAACTGTCCGCCATAAAAATCCATAACACTACTATACAGTACAGACCAACTTCCAGCTGAAGCATTATAAATTAACTTGTCAGACATGCTTGATTTGTTATTGTTTAAGATAATGTGGCAATCCAAAAATATCAGACGAAATTAGCATATCAAGTGACTATCGGTATTGGCTAATTTTATCACAGATATGAACATGAATTACTAGATTTATTTAAAAGACAGCATCCAATTTGAGTATCATTGAATAACACAATAACACTAGCAGTTCCCTCTCTGGCTTTCACCAGCAGAATGTGCTATATGGATTACAACAAGCATTATCACTCCCGAGAGTGTCAACTGGTGATGCCCGTACATTCTCAGTTATCGTATCGGCCCCAAAAATCCCATATCTGTCGGCACTTAATTGGCAGTATAATTGCTACTCTCTTTGTAAATCTCAGCAATTTCCTTGTTGATGACTTGTGACTGAGGCAGAAATATACACTGATCAGCCTTGGAAAGAAAGTGCAAAGGTAGCTGACTAAACCCCAGAGCCAGATCAACCATACCACAGCAAGTGATGCAATCGCCCCAGGGAGCGGGGGTAATAGCTATGCTAACCTCTCTTGGACCTTGGAGGAAAACAAAATGAATAAGATTAAAGTCTAACTCTAACTTAGGTAAAGTAAACAAGATCCCCTTTGTATATGATGATCCTGCAGGATGGCTGAATAAGGGGTGTGTATGCTAGCTTTGCATGTCACAAAAAACCAAACAAAGCCAGCATATTGCTGCCCCAGTGTTCAGCATGCAGGCTTTCAGGAGCAAACAGGTCATGAGTAACACAACAGACATCTCCAGTTAGCTGCTTGCTTAGCTCCATGTGGCCCAGTTGGTAGAGTCAGTCATCTTTCAACCGGATGGTGGGGGGGGGTTCGATCTCCAGCTCCTGCACCCATATGTCCGATGTGTCCTTGGGCAAGACACTTAAGTTGCTCCAGCTGCTTTGTAGGCGGCGTATAAATTTGTATAAATGGGATCAGTTACTTATGATGGTCTCTCTACAAAGCAACCTTTGTATCTGCCAGCTGTATCTCCCAGCCAGTATCTGATTACTGAGTACAGAAGTTGTACAATAAAACACTTCTTAACTTTACTCAAAGACCTGTGTCAATATTGTGGATGCAGATTAATGTAGAGGGCTATAAGCTGCAACAGTAGCCCAATAAATCAAAGTTGGTGTTCTTTGAAATTGAATCATTTGTTGTCAAAGTCCATGATTTATATGTACGTTTATTTGGACTGCTCTTTATAAATTATAAGGCACTATACATGCATATAAATCACCATATAAAGATACTTTACTTAATTGTCTTGTGAAGTAGAATAAGTTTTGCTGTGGCATCATGTTCAGTTCAGTTAAGACCTGTATTATCCCTGGAAGGGAAACTTTTATTTACAGAAGTGGATAAAAACACAACAAATAAAACGACGGACAGCAACACAATTTGATGAAATACAACCAAGAAAATGAAAATGTAACTGTTCTTTAAAAATTACTTGTTGTAGCAATATACTGTAAATAAGGTGCTATAGTGCTGCTGGAAAGTGTACTGACTGCCGGAGAAAACTCCAACACGCTGTAACTTTGTTAAAGTAAATGTTGCTTTTCTGGATGCTACCATGCAATAATAAAAAAGCCAATTGATTTACAAACAGTAACTCCAGCACCAAGCTACAGAGAATTAGTTGTACTACAAACACCGCTATGTACGTCATAAATGCCCATCACAGCACTCCTTTGACTATAGCACTCACAGCCCATAGTTAGAGTTGCCACCACTCGGAGAAACACATCAATCCATCAAACCTCACCATCACAGGCTGCATGAGGGCTCCATCATGTGTGATACCACAATGACAGATGGGCTTAACTAAATTTATGCTTGCTTTGATGTCTTTAGAAAGACTACTCCGCCTCCAGAAGACCAGCCGCTGTCATTATCAGAGCAGATAAGAAACAAACCCTGCTCAGAGGGAATATGAGTGAAGCTGTTGGGCCTGAAAAACACTCATGTCATGTAGTTTGAACAGGTGCCAACTAGGCAAGGCGAGTTTATATAAATTGCACATTTCAGCACTAAGGCAATTCAAAGTGTGTCTCACAAGACATCAAAAGCATCATGACAAAAAGAAAAAGAGACATTGAAAGAAGACGTTGAAAGTCACCAAAATAAATCAATCACAGAGAAGATTAAATATAAAATATGTGTTAAAATAAAAACAAACAAGATCCAAAATAAAGAAATATGACATTATAGAACACAACATTCAAAATGAGCCCTTAGTCCATCACCCCCATAAGTGCACACTCACTGCAGGACATGTGTGCATTTACTGCTTGTACGACAAGCTAACACAAACTAGCACAAGCTAACCACTGGTGTTTGGCCCCTACCTGTCCAACAGAAAGCAGGCCAACTCTGCTTCTGCTGGTAAAAGCCAGCTCTGTTTTGGAACAAACTTAATCTGCTGGGCATTTTGACTCACTATAGCCGTGGTCCACCTAGCATTTTTTCCGGGTAGAAAAGTGCTGGCTGTGCGCTCGGGAGAGCTTACATGAAGCGTTTGGTGCGCTAGGTGGAAACGGGGCCTAAAATTGTATATTCTCTTCTTTGCCGCTTACGTCAACATACGTCATGTCCGCCTCGTTGAATCATGCTGAATTGTATCCACTCACCTGCAAGCAGTCATTGTCTGGGGGAAATACATCATGTTTTGCTTGCCTTTCAGTGTTAGTGCTCTGAAGTCCCTGACTACATAGTCTTACCTTCCCATTGGACAAAGATTCACCTGCTGGTCTTGCCTAATTAAAATGGATTTTGCATAAAAATGCACCCTAGAATGTCTTCTGGATTAATTTGGCTCACAGTTTGCTCTGTCTCTGTCTTTGTTTATTCGCACAAATCTTTGAAGCACAATGCATCATGGTATGTATTGTGATCGAATAGTGTCCATCGGTTGTACAATACTTTTCACAATGCATTGTGGGATACGATGATTGGACTATATAGTGTATGATCATAGTATTCGGACACGACTTCAAAGTGGCATATTCACGATGTAGTGTACTATAGTGAGTGATTTCAGACACAGCCTAAGTCTCTTAGAAATGTTTTTCAAAGACCAACGCATGCTTTTCACGCCCACATGAATCTAGTTAATCTAGGTAGTCATATCTAATGAAAAAGAAAACCCTAAAGCAGTAAGCTTTTATAACATAGGCTACAACATAATATGTTCAAATAGTTATTACATTTTTATTCTGTGGCCTAATGACCTAATGATACAAGAACCCCACCCCCCCACCCCCTCTCTCAATTCAGTTCATCAAGCTTTATTGGCATTAATGTTACATTTACAATATTGCACAAGCATCAAATAATAATAAGAAAAAATACAATAGCTATAAACAATGTTATATAGTAATAGTAATAATCATATCAACATAGAATAAATATTTCTTTACTATACAAATACTATACTATACTAGAAAAATTCTCTCTCTCTCTCTCTCTCTCTCTCTCCCATCGTCTTCCCGGAGGCGGTAACTAGATGAGTGGGCGTGGCGTCGTAGCCAGGCAGTGACGTCACTTGGAGCTGTTCAAATTGGTGTGGTGCTGAAGAGACAACTCTCCTCGCGTCTGCTCGCCGCTCAGTCGGTTCAGACAGTCGCTCGCTCACACGCACGCTCTTTTTGTCGGCGCCCATCAGCTGGATTTCACCTCCTCAGAGCTCGTTAATCAGATACAGAAACACAAATCCAAAACGAACAGCTCTGTTTGCACATCGTCTGAAGCTCGGCTGAGGGAGATTTACAACAAGTAAGTCGCATCTTTTGTCAATTATTCTCTGTGTAAATTGTCGGATTTGGAGGGGTAGCCTACTTACAACCTTTCCTGGGTTGATCGCGCAAATAAATAAATAAAGTGAGGTAAGTAGTAGCCCACAGATAAAGATAGGCTATTTCACTATTGTGGGTAATTGTTAGCCCGTGTGTGTCCACTGTGGCAAGGCTTCCAGCCGCGCCTAATTCTTACTCTGTGCCCGCCTGGGGTAAAACATTTGACTCATATTTGCATGATCCAGTGGTCAGAGAGGCTCTCTCTCTTCTCTCTCGCACTCTCTCTCTCTCTCGCTGCCTTTCTCTTTCTCGCTCGCTCTATCTCTCTCTCCCTCTCGCTCTCTCTCTCTCTCTCTCTCTCTCGCTCTACAAACAGCAAATCAATGCAACTAAATAGAAAACACAAATCTAAAGCATCTCTCCTTGACTAAAGGAACATCCCATCACTATCCTCACACGAATTATTTTCACTTCTGTGCTGTCTATGCATTTCCAGTGTGCATAGACCCACTGTGGTGGTTCTGTGGTTTTACTGGTTTGAAGAAAGAGACATACTGGGACTGGCCAGTTAGGCTGCTGCATCACAGCTTGTGTGAAAATGTACAGGAGACTGTGATTCTGTTGGGAGTTGTCTGTTTTTTATTCTAGACATTTAGGTGTGGCCCTGCTGGCCTCTCCCCTTCTCTCACTGCTCTTTCCCATTCTCGTTTTCTCATCTAATTTTATTGCAGCCTTCCTGTCTTGTTTCCTTCTCCCCCTCCACTTTTCTTCCATCCCCTTTTGTTTCTTCCATGCCTCATCTATTTGTATTTTATTTTTGTGTCATCCTCTCTCTCTCCCCCTCTTATATCCTCTCCTTGCTCTCTTCAGACTTATCTTCTTCTCTCCCCTCAATCCATTTGTTCTCTTCTCCTTTCCTTATTTTTCTTCCAATTGTTTCCTCTGATCTCCTCTTGATCTATTTCTTTCATGTGTTCTTCTCCTCCCTCCTCTTAACTCCTGCCCTTTCTTCTCATTTGTCTCCTCCTTGTGTTTCCCACTTCTCTCCCTGCTGGGTCCTTTCTTGATTCCTTCTCCTTCCCTGATCTTTTTTCCACCTCTCTTTTTACTCCCTTATTATTTTTTCCCCTTTTCTCAACTGAATAAGGGTCCTTCTCTCCTATTTAATCCCTCTCTGTCGTCTCCTTCCTCTAATGTACTTCCCCTTTCATGTTTTCCTCCTACTTTCTCTTCTATAAACTACTTCTATTGCCTTGGCTCTATGTGAAAATGCCATATCAGTTTTATTGTCTCTTTTATCCATTCGGTTTCCTCATTCATCATAAAACAAGAATCCATCTACTTTAGGCATGAATACTTTATTCGTTTTATGTTACAGACTCACATTTAATACAGTAGATTTTAAAAGAGGCGCTTTAATCCAAGAAGGAAATACTGAGATATACTAAATTCGGTTCCCAGTATGTATCAGACTCCAAGAAACTCCATCCTACATTTCCATAATGCAACTCAACAGCACCTTTCATTTAACCCTTCCTGCTTTATAAATGTCTACTTTCTTTACACACACTTTCAGTATCTCATCCAGTTTTCTGTGGCAAGTGCTTCTACTTACAACAACATTAAATATGAAAGCACCCGACTCAGAATTTAGACAGCCAATTAGAGGATGTTCATTGTGAAGCTTATATTTGTTTGTCATGATTCATACCGCGCCAAACTCCTGTACCAACTGATATGAGTCTCATGTGTATCAGATTCTCCTAGATATTCAATCATTTTAATTACATTACATCTATCAGTTAACAAGAAGGATGACTCAATAAAACTAATGTTCAGACTAAAATAAAAACGTGCATACAGAGCATCAGAAAGATAGAAGATGGAAGATTTTAATAGTAAACTCTATTTGGCCTTGAAGTGTTTTAAATATGTTATGTGTTTGTTAAAGAAAGAGGGATATTTCTGTTTTCAAAGTCCTTGAAAAATGAACACTTGAGAATTATTAAAAGTTCTGATATTAAAGAGGACATATCATACCCCTTTTCTATCTTTTCAAACAGTCCTCTGTGGTCTAAATGAAACATCTGTGCTGTGCTTTGGCCAAAATATAACATGAATCAAGTACCCGAGGAGGTTTGTGACCCTGTATAAACCAGCTCTCTCAGAACGCTCCCTTTTGGTGTGTGTGTCTCTTTAAATGCAATGAGCCCCCCCTGAGTTTTCCCGGAACATCACTCCTCTGTAGCGAGAATAAAAATGGCAGACCTGCGCAAAAGTTTAGTTCTAGGCTGGGGATGGAGTCCATGGGTGGGAGGGGAGAGGAGGATTTTTTTTTTTTACAGAATCCAGCGTGTGACATCACAAGTTGAGCAAATTTGAAACAGAGCATTTTTCTCTGTGTTGTAAGACTTCTGCAGACTACAAACAAAAGACTGGATGGATTTATTTCACATTTTGTGAGTCAGTAGAAACTCAGGTTAACCAAATATATGTTCAAAAACACTTTAAAAGAGGATTTTTCATAATATGTCCCCTTTAAACTGAAAGGTGCAATTGACTTTTAATCTACTCCTTGACATTAGGGGGGCACTTCATAGACACAACAGACATTACAGACCTCTTTGTAAACAGACAAGGTAGAAGTCATTGTAATAAGTAAACTAAACTTGTATGTTAAGTTGAAGAGGAGCCCTTTAACTGTCAAATACATTAAAAAAATGTTGACTTTAAAATGTTTGAACCCTTATTGTTGCTCCCTTCTATTTATCCACCATAATTCAGATTACAAGATTTTTAACAGGATGCTGTGGTGACAATCGTGTCCTTGTTTGCAGAATACAGCAATTGCCTTCTGGATGCTGAAGAAGCTGTTATCAATTAGACTAAATTTATTTTACAGAATCTTTTGGACTTGTCATAGGTCTCGGTGAGGTGCAGAGCATCTGGGTGCTCACAGGGTGCAGCTGGAGATGGCTGTGGTCTCTGATGTGAACACATCTTGACATTTTCGCACACAGGCAGTTATGTGAAAGGTGACATTGCTGACATCTTGACAGGGCTGCAAAAGTACATGATATAGGTTTTGAGTGTTCATGAAGGGTCTAAATATAAGTGGATGGAGAGCCACTTGTTTTTTTTTTCTTTCAGTTTATAGCGTAGTCAGTTCTTCTGCCTCTGGCTTTAGATCTGGGCCTGTAGCCAAACACTTCTCACATTTACCCAATCATCTCTGTATTAGAGTAATCCTGTGCAAAATACAACATGTTTGCCTTTGATTCTGGGATTCCTTCAATAACGTTCTTGGCTTAGGACCAACTTGCCAAAAGAGGCAGAAGGCTTCACAATATGTCAAAAACTTAATCTTGAGACTATAACCTTGTCAGACTGGCTTACATGACATCTCTTCATTTGCCAGCTTGATTGGTTTAATCATCACCTTCTGTAAGAAAATGTCCTATTAAAAATGTCATCTAGAGCTCTTTGATGAGCATGTTACTGCTTGAATGTGTTTTCTGAAGTGTGGGGTTTCTGGTTGTGTAATTTATCAAATAAAAGGCCTGATGTCTTTATTAATCTCAGTGGATGATGAGAGATTACAGGCTCAATATCTCAAAAAAGATCCTGAGGCAAAAAAGCATTTCATTCAAGAATAAACATTATTCTGTGTGATGGGCTCGGGGTATCGACTGATGGATGGATTCATGTAGCTTGGGTTTGTGCTGTACCTTTAAATCACAAAAGAGAATTGCAGTTTAGTTTCATCTGAGCTGAAGGTTTTTTTTCAGAGACCCCCCACATACACTGGCCTTTCTGTTGTTGGAAAAAAAAAAAAGGTCAACCGCCAACCCTGCTCTCTATCCACATGCTCCAAACAGACCTCTGGATATCAGACTGGGTTTCTGTTCATGACAGAGCAGGCAGGTGGCTGAGTTGATCTGGCAGGCAGGCTGGGGCTCCCCCGCAGGTCCTTGTCTTCAGCGACACCTGATAGTACAGGATCTAGTTTCTCTACCTGAATGCTGTCGGATAAACATCAGTAACACTCTTTAATAGTTAACAGTGTACAGTACTGTGTAAGATGGAGGGACTGCAGTTTCAATAGACATTTGTTAAATGATTTCCAATCATCCCAGAGAGTACTGACACAGTTGTGCTGTTTTTGCACATGAACAAAAGTCCTGAAAACTTCCTGAAGTAACAGGTTATGCATGTGTGAACACAAAGAGCTGTATTTATCACACAACTTTACACAAAATGTTTCTAGCCAACCCCATGGGTAAAAAAAATGTTTGCATGAAGTTGAGATCAGCCGTCATGAGAACTGAGCAGGAAACATTCAGGAAAATTCACCATGAGTGATTAGGACGGGTGATTATGTTTATAACCTGCAACCGGCATGCAACTGGTGCGATCTCCGCATGAATATAACAGCAAAAATTGTCATCAGAGCATTTGATTTAGCCTTTTGTGAATAATAGTGTACAGAGTATGAGCTGGTCGGCCTTGGATCAACTTATATATAAAAAAAACAACTGTTCAGTATTTGTTCAGTCTTTGACTTTGAACTTATGTTTGTGACTGGACTTCTCTATTTTTCACACATGAATAAATTACACTAGAGAGAACCCACAGCATCATATTTGTACTATATTTGAAGGGTTCGGAGTAGGAACAGTATTAATATGTAATGAACTGAGGAGAAAAAAGAGGAAATTGGCTTGGAACTCCCCTGAACTCTTTTTGGGTATCCTCATATCTCCTCAAGAACTCTTCTGTCTCCAGTTAACTCTCAAACCTGTTCGTAGACAAGCAAATCCACCACCAGCCACATATGATCAGCAAATCGCCCACTCTCGGCCACTTCTCCATGATGCTGAACTTCAACAGGGATACTGTGATTGTGTTTTGTGTTTGCATGCTGAGACTTCAAACTGTAAGGCTTTGATAGATTGTCGCAGGCGCTGGAGGCATTGGAAA